ATGAACCTTCTTAATCCTCTGGCTAACATTATTAACACAATAATGAATAAACGTTAATAATTTTTTAAAAATCTATTACTAAAATACAGGAAGCCCAAGTATCATCTTGTTAAATATAAAAACAAATGTGCTAACATCAAAAGGCCCAGTTATTTTTTTCTTCACAGAGAAAAATTTTAAAGGAAGACTTGAAACTTTTAAAATATAAATTCTAGAATTTGATCTCAAGGCTCTTCCCCCCTAGTTTGTAGCATGTCATGGCTGCATAATAATTGTGGAACTTATTAAAATCAAACCGGGGCCAGCCCCGTGGCTTAGCGGTTAAGTGCGCGTGCTCCGCTGCTGGCGGCCCGGGTTCGGATCCCGGGCGCGCACCGACGCACCGCTTCTCCGGCCATGCTGAGGCCGTGTCCCACATACAGCAACTAGAAGGATGTGCAGCTATGACATGCCACTATCTACGGGGGCTTTGGGGGAAAAATAAATAAATAAAATCTTTAAAATCAAACCGCATTAGTCAAGACAAATATATTTGATACTTTTACCAGCAAGAAGCCGTATGAATGAATGGATATTGTTATGCTTCTGAATTTTGAATTTCTTTAACTTTTTGTCATGGGAGATTTCAAACATATACGGCAGTGGAGAGAATACAATTGTATAATGACCCTCCAAGGACTCCTCACCCAGATTCTGTAGCTACAAACGGACGGCCAGTCTTATTTCATCTCCACCTCCGCCTGCTTACACAAACACATGTTCCCACAGTGATTGTTGTAAAGCACATCTAAGGCATATTTCATCTATAAATATTTCTAAAAGATAAGGACTCTTCCTAACAATATTATCATATTGCAAAAAGTTAACAGTAATTCCTTAACACCAGCTATCCAGTTAGTGTTCCAGTTTCCCTGATGACCACATTTTCACACTTGGTTTCATACAGTCAAGAGTCAAACAAACAGGCTGGTTGAACTTGGCTTGCTGCATCTCCTGTCTCCCCCTATATCTGTCAGCTAGGTCTCCTCCTTTTTTTTTCTTTTTTTTTTTTAATTGCAATTTATCTGTTGAAGAAATTCTGTCACTTATCTGTTGTTCCCCACACTCTGGATCTGGCTGATTATGTCTCTGTGACATTGAGTTGAATGTGTTCCTCTCAGGGCCCTATATTCTTGTGTTTCCTATTAGCTGGTCGTTAGGATTGAGAGAAGTTTGATTATATTTGGGCTCAATGATTTGTTTTGTTTTTACAAGAACATACCATAGGTGATATACATAACATCTGACTGTCTCTCTTTGTGACATTAGGACTGATCGGTGGATTTGGGCAGTGTGTGATCCATCCATTATAAAGTTCCTGTCAGCGTTTTACCTATTGGCTTTAGCAGCTACTGACATTCATGCCTAGATTTCATTAGGGGCCACAAAAGGGCAACATGTGAGTTCTGTCATGTCTTCTTCATTTATTTGGCTATTGTACTTCTAAAGACCACTTTCCCTCAGCAGCTATTCAGTTACCCTGAGGAATTGTTCCTACTGGAAAGACAAGAAAACTGCCTTATTCTTTTTATTTGCCAGTTTTTAAAATAATGAGTTGCCTCCCTAGCCAGATGTTGTTGTTCTGTGGGGTTTTCTTCTTTAACCATCATTATGAATCTGTGGGTTTTTATCATTGTAGGTGAGGGGGTTCCCATGAGCCGCCTGGTTGGATGATTTGCTGGAAGGACTGTTTTCCCAGAACACAAGTCTCACCCTTCCAGGGATCTCATTGTATTTCATGCCCTAACTATGCTGGTGACTTCCAAGCTGTCGTCTCTGTTCTGTATTCTTCCCTGAACTCTAGACTCTTGCAGCCAACTGCCTCCTCACCCTGTTGGCTCTCATGTCTAGTGAGCATCTCAAACTTAACATATTCAAAACTGAGCTCCTGATCCTCCCTCCAAGCATGATTCTCTCACTCTTCTCCTCTCAGGAGGCAGCAGTTCCTTCCTTCTGGTTGATCAGACCACAATGTTTGGGGTTATTTTTGATGCTACTCTTCTTTCTCCTCCCGTATCCAATCCATTGGCAAATCTCGACTGGCTCACGGGGCCGGCCCCGTGGCTTAGCGGTTGAGTGCTCGCGCTCCGCTATTGGTGGCCCGGGTTCGGATCTGGGCGTGCACCGACTCATCGCTTCTCCAGCCATGCTGGGGCGGTGTCCAACATACAGCGGCTGGAAGGATGTGCAGCTATGACATACAGCTATCTACTGGGGCTTTGGAGAGAAAAGGGGGAAGAAAAGGAGGAGGGTTGGTGGTAGATCTTGGCTCAGGGCCGGTCTTCCTCAGCAAGGAGAGGAGAATTGGCATGGATGTTAGCTCGATGGATGTTAGCTCGGGTCTGATCTTCCACACAGACACACAGACACACACAGCCACACACACACACACACACACACACACAATCTCGATTGGCTCAATCTCCCAAATATATTCACAGTCCATCTTTCCATGCAAGTATCCTTGTTCAGGTCACATGACTCTCCACCTGGATTAGTGCAGTTGCCTTGCAGTTCTCCCTGCCCACCTCTGCAGAGCCCATCTGTGTTTCTGATGTTTGCTTTGCCCCAGCTGGTCTTCTCCGATTGTGCCCCGCCCTCTCCTTCTGCTCCTGGAAAGCTTTTTGTGAATGATCCTTCGGTATTTAGAGTTGCAGCCCCAAAGGAAAACACTCCCTGGCCCACTTCTCCTGTTTTTCTCCATAGCACTTATATGTTGACATACCACGTAATTTACTTACTTTGTTTATCATCTCTTCCCCATCCTAGAACATAAGCTCAATAAGGTAGGAGTTTGAGGGCCTATTGCACTGCTGTCACCCCTGCATCTACACGGTGTACCTGGCTCATAGTAGGTGTTCAACAAATGTCATTAATCATCTTGAATAAAATAATTCATCTTGAATAAAATAAAAGAAGGGTCCTAACACCTTTTTTTATAATGTGGAATAATGTTCTTGGTATTACTCAAGAAAAGTTATATTTTTAAAAAAATTATTTACTTTTTAAGTTAGTGTAAAGAATATTCAGCTCAGTTTAGAAATAAAATAAACAGTAGAAAAATAGGAATAGCTGCCACTTACAGAGTGGTAGCCCTGTGCCTGGTGTCCAGGGAGTCCTCTCTGCAGCCCTTTACTTAAGGAAGCTTATATTACCTCATTTACAATCAGAAAACAGAAGCAGAAGTTGGATAACTTTTCCAAGGTCAGAGAGTAAGTAGTGGAGCCAGCAGTATCCGAATCCAATACATGCACCTTGTATTTTCATTTTTCCATAAGTTCACACTTAGAGAATGGTTGTAAGAAGAGTAAAGTGAAGTCTCATACATTCTTTACTCAGATTCACCATGTGTTGATTGTGGCCCACTTGCTTTATCCTTTGATCTGTTTTTTTCTTTGAACCATTTGAAAGCAAGTTGCAGACATAGTGTGCCCCTTTACTTATAAATATTTCAGTGTATATTTCCTAAGACCAAGAATATCCTCTTATACAGTCACAGAGTAATTATCAAAATCAGGGAATTTAATACTGATAGAATGCCCTTATCTTTTCCAAGTCCATGTTCGTATTTCATCCCAACAACGTCCCACATACAGTCATGTGTCCCTTAATGACGGATACGTTCTGAGAAATGTGTCATTAGGTGATTCTGTGGCTGTGCAAACATCACAGAGTGTGCTTACACAAACCTAGATGGTACAGCTTGCTACACACCTAGGCTGTATGGTACCAGTCTTATGGGACCACCATCATATATGTGGTCCATTGTTGACCGAAACTTCATTATACCGCACATGACTGTAGTCTTGCCCCCTGCCCCCTCCTCCCCTGCAGTCCAGAAATCCATTTAGTCTGACACAGTCATTCAGTTTTCACGTTGTTAACCAATAACCACAGAAAGCTGTAGTCTCTTGAGTCGTCATGTAGGAAATTGAGTATGTGATTAGGGTGGCTTTTCAAATCGAGGGAGGAAGATGAAATAGTCATTAAATGTGGTTGGAATCACAGCATACCATTTGAAAACATTACTAAATTGTATGTTTCGGTTTTTCTCGTTTGTGCTCCTAACATGTTGATAATCTCCATAAGTTGTTGTCATCTTGATGCTGACCTGTGCTCCCCCTAGGCCCACACCTAAAGTCCTGATCTTTCTTGATAGTATCCTGTGGATCTGCGGTTGAATTCTGCATGCCACCTGTGTCTTTTCTGTCACATGTTCCGTGCATCCCTTGTTCTGGCTTCGTTTTGACATAATCCGCTGTGGCCCTTTCCATGCTGTAACTGTTGCTTCTCTGTTTACTGAGCTTTGTGCTCCTGGAGGGCTGGGACATGTCTTGTTGATCTGACAAGTGCCTGCTATAGAGAGAGTTGACTTTCAGATGAGTTTTAAGTATATGAATGAACAACCTGTGTATTCAGACACCTTCATCACCAGTTTTTTATGTTATGGTAATTTATTTAGGGTCTATGAGTCTGTGTCTTTCTTAATGATTTGGGGCAAATTGCTCGTAAAGCTCTTTCACAAATCAGGATCTGCTAGTTTTCTGCAATTGTTTTCTTTATGGTTGAATGTTAGATGTTCACAAGAATCTTGAATTATTTATTGGTCTCTGTTTTTTGTCTTATTTCCTTTGGTTTCAGTTTGATTATTTGTAGAGATACTTGTACCTTCACTTGGCTGCCTCTGCGGAGCCAGAAAACTCTCCTTATGTCTTGCTAAAAAGTTTCTATATCTAGTGCTAATCGTTGGTAAAAGAGGAAATTGCATTTTAAAATATTAACATGTTTTTTTAAAACTCAGGTCAATCATAGTAAGAAATTGTGTGCCAATGGTCAAATAAAAGCATTGCAATTTTGTATTTGTTTTTATAGATATGCCTTAAAATGTAACATATGTTTTCTTTTATATTGAAATAATTTGTTTCTATTTTTCTCTTTCCTCCTCCTGCCTCTTTATAAAGGAGTCAGTCACTGCCAGCATAAAGTTAAGAAAGCTAGGCGCTTTCTCCCTTTGGTCTTCTGTTCCCATGAACCTCCTCCTACGGGTACTGCACTCATATTTGCCCAGGCTCTCTTATTAACCAGAGCGCCCCAGGCAGCGGATCTAACCAGATGCTTGTGGACTGTTCTGAGCAGAGCATACCTTTATTGAGTGTCGGCGTATGTGCTATCCACTGCCCAGCAGCGATACGAGGGGGCGAGGGTTTGCGCTGACTGGGCTGCTCTCCTGATAGATAACGTTTTGTTTGCCTGTTTGCTGGTTTTTAAATGCATGACTGGGTGAGAAGTAGCTTCCCAGTTTCATTTGTCTCAGTGGTTTACCCCAGGGGCCAGCAGGTACCACATTTGCATCATGAGTTTCTTAATATAGCATACAACTGAATGAAGAGAATGGTCAGAGCGAGCACCACTGGTCTGCTTTCCACGGTTTGGGAGCAGATATTCAGGGATGCTGCAGAATAGGGGCACCCAGGCCACTTGGAGAGTTTTCCAGGAAAGCAAAGATTATTTGTAATAATTGAAATAGGAATTTCTCCAAACACTGTATAAATTTAAATGGAAATTTGACTTGTCAGCAGAGCTTCAAGTGCTGTCCTCCTCGAAGCTTACGTGCTGGGCCTGGCCTACCGCTGCCTTGTGCCAGAACCCCAGCGGCTGACGGGAAGAGCCACACTGAGGGCTGGCCCCTGGTTACCATTTATAGTGCACATGAATGACTTGTTTGTTTTCATTTTTATCTGAGAGGATACAAATTACCTTTAGGGAGGTAGAAGCCGTTTTTAACATTTAATTGTGAGAGACAATCCAACTAATTTTGCTTAGTGCGCTAGAAACCAACTTAAACTCTGCAGTGCTGCTATGTACCTTTGTATAATGTGTTGATAGCTTAAAACTCAGCATAATGCCCTTACATCAAGTAAACACGCTTACTACTACAATCTTTCTTTTGCCTTTTGAATTAGAGCTTGGGGGGTAATTTTTTGTTTTCCTTACGCTTTGATTTACTTGTCATTTTAATAGTGTGTTTCCTCTCTCCCCTCTTCCCTCTCCTCTCTCCTTCCCTCTGTTCCTACTGCCCCCTTTCTTTGCATGCCACCTGGATCTGCAGATGAAATTAGTGGGGACGGTAATATTTATTTTCACATTTGTGTTACTAATGTGAAATAATTATTTATTGATATAAATATAGTTCAGTATTAATGAAAGGCAAAATGTGGTTTTGATCCAACAAACAAGTGTGAAAAAATGATGGTGTGAACAAATGACCTCTTAAAAGTTGTTTAGAGCTTTGACATGGAAAGGATAACTGTCAGTTTCTTTATCACATCTCTGTGGTACATTTGAGTTGTATATATTCATAGGGAATTTTTTAGATTTCATTATTGAAACTTTAGAGTTGTAGAAAAATTGTCAAAATGGAGTCATTCAGCAAAATTACTCATACTTGAAAGCAGTAAATGATAGAGATCTATACACTTATTTCCCATGAACAGTGTATATATAATAATTCTTGGTTTGAAAGTGAGGTAGTGGAAAGGAAAGAATGAAAAGTGATTTTTAAGAGTCACACAAACTAAAGTAATTAGAGAAATATCAGCAGTAGTGATAATGACTATTTTTCAGGCAATTGAGAAAAGCACTTCATAAGCTAGAAATTTGAAAGTCACGTGAGCGTCTTAAGTTTCCCACTTACGTCCTGTACTGCCTGCGTGAAACTTTAGTCTCTTTTATGCTAAAGGAGTAAGATTTTATAAACTAAAATTGAGGGGGAATTGCATTTTTTCCTCATGATTAAATGAAAGAATGTTTTTACTGACAATTTCATCAGTGCTCATTCTTGTGATAGGATTGGTAACTTGAGCATAATGAGCAAAGCACTTGCAGTGAAAGATCCTAGCTAAATATCACTTTGGGAAAGTGTTTCTTCTTCATGGGACTTGCACCAGAAGGTGTGAGCTTCATTCTGGGCTGACTCCTTGGTAGTAACTAGTTAGCAGCTCCTCTCATGGAGAGTTTCCTGGGTGCAGGCACTTTACTAGGTGGCTCATAATTCCCACAGCAGGGCTGCAGTATCACTGGGGCTTGTCTTCACTCTTGTCAGGTGAGCTAACTGAGGATCAGAGGGTGGAGAGACCAGATAGTCCAGGGCCGCTGGAGATGAGTGGTCAGGTCTCGGACTCCAGCCTCACACTTTCCCCACTGCCCCATCCTGTCACCAGCTGACTAGTTGAGTGATCTTGAGCAAACTGCTCCTGTGTCTTCATCTGTAAAAGGTCTCACTGGTTGTTGTGAGGATTACTATAAGAGCATAAAAATTTAAACAAATGTCTATAAAACAAGTGGTTATTACCACATTATTTATGTAACAAAAACACTCGTACATTTTCCCCACGTTTGAATTTCCCAATACTATGAATTAGACAGGGCAAGTATTATTATCCCCATTTTACAGATGAATGAGCTAAGCCATAAGGGTTTATTTAATCACTTGCTCTAGGTCAGGGGTCCACAAATAGGCCCATGGGCCAAATACAGCCCACTTCCTGTTTTTATATTGCCCTTTGAGCTAAAAATGATTATTACATTTTTTAATGGTTAGGGGAAAAATCAAAAGAAGAATAGTATTTGTGGCATCAAAACTATATGAAATTCAAATTTCAGTATCCCTAAATAAAGTTTTATTAGAACCTCGTCACACCAGTTTGTTTACATGTTGTCGTGGCTGCTCACCCACGGTAATTTGAACAGCAGAGTAGAGTGGTTGCAGCAGAGACTGTATGACCAGCAAGATCTAAAATATTTACTGTCTGACCTGTTACAGAGCGTTTGCCAACCCCTGGTCCAGGTCGTATTGTTAGCTAATATTAAAGAGCAAATGTGGGCCCTGCCTGGCTTCCTAGAAAAGAACTCTTCTCACTGCTTCCCGATGCCTCTGGGGTTAATGGTATGTCTCAGTTATCCAGGTGGTTGGATAGGAAGCTGTGAAATTGGTTAGTCCCACTGAATTACCTAAGTGATCTAGTCACTGTAGAGATGTTACCATGTGGGATGATGACTCATTCAGACTGCCTGAGAGCAGCAGGGAGGCCACTGAGGGGAACAAGTCGTTGGAATTGCAGGTGTCCAGGCCAAGGCACAATCACCACTGGGGGAAAGAGCCACCATTTCTTATGTCTTGCCAGGCAAGTAGAGGAGATGTGGCGACAGAATCACGTTGTCTTCCCCTTCTGTGGGAAGTTTGGCAGGTTGTTAGCACTTGAGAAGTTTGTGAGCCTGATGGCTTTTGTGCTGTTCCTTTAATTTACAACCAGGTGATGATATCCGTTGTCCACCGACACCTCCCTCCCAGACTCCCAAATGACCCCCTTCACAGTGACTTCAGAGGTATTGGGCTCTTAATGTGACAGAGCGTGAGCCTTTGACGTCATGTGTGCATATCAGTGTGTTCATTAGTGACTTGACTGTGTCTCTTTTCACCTTGCTTTAAAGTGAGAACTTAGTACTTTCCTCTCCTAATTTCTGAGCTATCATTGTCTGTCCTTTTAATGTCTTCCTGTCATTTTTATTTTACCGCATAATGTGATACCAAACCTTTCAAATTGTAATGTTGTGCAAGGTTTTAGAAGTCTCCTTTTTTTTTTTTTAATGTTTATTTTGAAATATTTAACTCATGGACCAGGCATCCTTGGAGATGAAATTGTCTCCCAAGTACGCAGGCCCACATGAACCTTCCTGTGAGCATCCCTGGAGCAAAACTGTGCCCATGTTGGGGGGATGTCCCAAAATATCCCTCCGGGAACATTCCCTAGTTGCGTAGCATAGGGTATCTGGTCTCACAAATACAAGTCCCCGTAAACTTTGTGGAAGATAATAAAGAATAAAGCATGGAACTTCACATTCACAGCCCAGGTCTGTGCTAGAGTGCTGTTCTGAATACCAGCCCACCACTGGCTCTGGGACCTTGAGAAACTTACGTAGCCTCTCGGTGCCTCAGTTTCCTGCCTTTGAAGCAAGGATGATGATAACAGTACCACCTCATAGGATTTTTCTGAGAATTAAATGACAATATATGTAATTGTCTATAACAGTGTCTGGCATGTTTTGGTAAGCTCTCGATACTATTGGTTGTATTCATCTTTATTAAGTAGAGAATGCAGATCTAGCTTCCTTTATTTGCACCCAGATCTTTGAACCTATTTCCTTTTTCTTTTATATATTTTCTCTCTAGCATGCCATTATTTTGGGGGCCCAGGCAGTTTCAGGCTGGGCTCCAATTTTTCAGGGGCCCTTGAGTATGTAAAAATACCTCTTATATCAGTGTTGTACAGTTCCATAATCCTAAAAGCCAAGAAAGAAAAATAGAAAATAGAACCAAATCAATATCAAGTGTTCTTGGAGAAATTTGCCAGCTGTTACCACTTGAAGACTCCTGTGTAGAAAGTTACAGTAAAAGTTTTGTAGGTCCATGTTTCTTCAACAGTGTTGACTCTGCTCTGTAAGAACCAACTCATGAAGGGCACAAGCACCCTTGCAATAAAAATTCTCTATTCATATTATGTCACAACACATATCTACACTCCAAATATTATGATAATTCCTGGATGGCTTTGACTATCCCCAAAGGTTTTATATAGAATTCACATAGCATAAAAAGAAAAGAATTATATGGTCTTTTTTGTGATTTTACGAATTAATTGAAGTGTAGGCAACTTGATTTTTCCCACGTCAGTTTTGTGTGCTAGCCTGATATATATATTAGCCATTTTATTTTTACTCCTTCAGAATTGTTTCAGAGATTGGTATCTCTACTGAGGGTTTTATAAAAAGAGGCAATCCTGGAAGCCATTACAGTCAAACCAAGTAGGCAGATGGAGAGTCTCAGCAGGCGGGTTCCTTCCAGAGAGCCCTCAGAAGAAGCCAGACAGCAAGGAGCTACCATTTCTCGATCATGTTATGTGCTGGGCCACACCTCAACTTGATATGCATCTCCTGTAATCCTCATAACAACCCTGCAAGGTGGATGTGTTCTCATTTACACATGAGGGCACAACTAAAGCACAGACAGGTGAAGAGACTTCTCAGGGTCAAGCAGGATACCCCCAAACATGTGGGTGTGTGCCTTGTCCTGTGTGTTGCAGCTCTGCCCTTTCCCGTCCACGCAGCCTTGCACAGGCTACTTGGCTTCTTGGCCTCAGTTTCCTGGCTCTGCAGTCCCCTCACTGTATTGCAGTGCACTGGTTCTTTTTGTTTAGAGAGTATTTACTGAGGTCTTCTCTGTGCCAGGCACTGTTTTAGATGCTGAGAACGTAGTGGTAAACAAGACACACAAGGGCTCTGCTCCCATGGCGTCTCTGTCCTGGAGAGTGACAGACAGTTGACAAGGAAACAAAGGACTGTCAGACAGTTTGTAGTGATAGGTACCAAGGAAGATAAAATAGGCAATGTGATTAGGAGTAATAGGGGTGGGGGAAAATTAGTTTGAGGCGGGGTCTCTCAATAGGTGACACTTTGGCCGAAACCAGAATTGGCTCTGAGCCAGCATGAGCTTTAGCACGTGGTCAGCCCTTAGTTTAAGAGGTCACTGCTTTGCTGTCAGGGCAGTTTCCTACCCTTCTCCATTCAGGCAGCAGGCGCCTGTTACCCGAGGAGGCTTGTGGATACCGGCCCCTGACAGCCATGTGAAGCTTCGGTGCCTGTAGAGTAGATGGGTGCATAACATCTCCTTAATAAAGCTAAGAGCCAAGGGCAGGAGTTGTTGAAGATTCTTGAGCAATTCCGGTAACAGGGCAGCTGCGGGAGGGGACGCGGAGGAGGGAGGTCTGAGCAGCTTTTACTGCCAGCATCCTGCCATCTCAGGGTCAGCTGATGTGTTTTGCCTCTAAAGACATGTGCATTGTATGAAAGAAGGCAGTAAGGGTGGCATCTATTGTTTCTGGAAATTCAAGCTTAGTTGCATTAGCTTTCTTAGTGGCATGAAATTGAGCTTGTTAAATGATAGAATAAAGAGAGTAAGTGGTTAGCAAGTGTCCATTTGGATAACTTGTGTTGCCTCCACTGACTTAGCTATTAAAGTGGATTGCCCCCCCCACTTAGTCCTTTTTCTTACAAGTGCTTTAGTAGCTCCCTTCTGTTCCCAAATTTCATTTCACAATGTCTTTTGTTAAGCCATCTTACACAAAAGCAAAGCTTATGGGCCTAGAACATGCCAATTTATTGTTCTTAGTATTAAGTGAAAGCAGGATAAGAGGGAGAAGCATAGGAATAGAAGAATGTGAGGTCTGGAGTAGATTACATTTCTTTCTTAAATCTTGTAAGTAGTAGTATTTATAAACATGTAGGAATAATAGTACGTTATCTATCTGTCATATAGGACTTATAAATAGTTTACATTTGCTAAGTGTTTTAAGGAGAATTGATTTATTGACTTTACATTCTGCCAGCCAGCTGAAATTTTTTTTACTTTAGTCACTTTTAATGATTACAAATTAAGAAACAAATTCCTCCAGTCACTCTCCAGCAGTATGTGGAACGGTTGATATCCTAGTGACTGTAAACTATATATATTCTCTGTTTTCTTTGGTTTCTATAATTTTAATATCTGAATGAAGTAATAATGGCAGCATAGAAGAAAGAACTTTTACCTTAGTTTCTCTGGGGTTAAAGGTGGATGCCAGGTTAAATTTTCAAAATAGAGCTCTCTTCAAATGGTAATTCAGAAAGTACTGCCTTTCCTTGCCTGGCCCAGCCACTTAAATCCTTATGCATGGAACAACTAAAGGTTTTCCTTTTTCCAGAAAGAGAAAAACAGACAGGACTTATATGATTTTTCAGCGTAATTGTTAGCCAAGTGAGTGGTTGTTTTCTTTAGGTGGGTTTTTCCCCCATTAACATGGTGGTGGATTTTTAAGTTACTTACTGAAAGGAGTAAGTAGAAACATTGGGACTCCTTGACATTACCTCAATAAAGAACTGATTTTGATATGCTGTTTGTTCTCATTTTATTCTTTTTGGTAGGTTTTTTTACCCTGTGACATTAATGTATACTCTTCAAATGTCTGAGTGAAAAAGTTATGAGAGAGAAATTCCTGGGTTGCTTTCACCCTGAACAGATGAAATAAGTTGGCCCAGTTAATCTCTTCAAAAATTGGGATGCCGTTTTTGTTTTCTAAAGGAGAACGTTCAGATTATGCTGTAGGATCTAATTATGAATAATATCAGATACTATGTTTTTGAGATACCAGTCTTGTTTGGAGAAATCCCGGTAGACAACAGTGTGGTTTTCAACATGGATTTGATGTGGTTGAGGGAGTTTTGTAGTCAGTACGGATTGGTGGATTTGAATCATATACACAGTTGTTCATGTCTTTCTGTTTTTCACAAGGGCTTTCTGTGTTGGCTCTGTTTGCTCTCTGAGAAACAAGTCTGTGTATTATAACATATTGGACCATGATGTCACTTTTATTTCCATAAATGACTCATGTGTAAGCAAAAATTGAGTAATAGTGTTTTAGGAATATATCAGCATGGTAGGGGATTTAGGCAGATCATTTTCCCTTTTCAAATTATATTAAAGGCCAGAAGGTCAAATATTTAACCTCTTCCAACATGTTTCCCTTCCTACAGAAACAGACGATTATGCTGAGATTATCGACGAAGAAGATACTTACACCATGCCCTCAAGTAAGTAAACTTCCAGCTTTGTTCTCCTTCAGATTTGACAGATAGTTAACTTTTAAATATCCTACATATGAAAGTTTTAGATATTTATTGTCCTTTTAGAACTATTTTTAGTACCTCACTGAGTGCATAACAGAAGTATTCTTTTCAACCTTTAGAATTCTATATTGTATGTGCCACTCTAAGGTCAGAAGACTAAAAGTCAAATATGTATAATTAGTCGATTCAGTTACGGGATTTTTGTAATCGTGTTTTCTGGCTTTATGATAATGTAACCTTTATTAATTACTGTATTTCCTCTCTGTAGAAAATTAGTACTGTTTAGAGTTAAATATATATACACATATATATTCAATTCTTTGAATACGCATATTGAATATTTGAAATTTTGTTCTTTATTGCCCTTGACTAACCAATTACAAAGAGTTTCCTGGGCCGGCCCCATGGCTTAGTGGTTAAGTGCGTGCGCTCCGCTACTGGCGGCCCGGGTTCGGATCCCCGGCGTGCACCTCCGCACCACTTCTCCAGCCATGCTGAGGCCGCGTCCCACATACAGCAACCAGAAGGATGTGCAACTGTGACACACAACTATCTACTGGGGCTTTGGGGAGAAAAAGGAGGAGGATTGGCAATAGATGTTAGCTCAGAGCTGGTCTTCCTCAGCAGAAAGAGAAGAAAAAAAGAGTTTCCCGTGCCTGGTCCATAACAGCTGTGGTGGGATGTGTGGAGAGAGACAGACTATTCAATGACCGTCCTGCAGACCAGAAATGCCAACATTCTGCTGCTCTCTGCCGTGCTGCTTGTTGATTGCAGAGAAACTGGAAGCCCAGGTCTCATGGTGGAGCATATAATCTCAGATCCTGAATTGCAGATGCCCTTGAAATTTCATTCACAGAAGAAATAAACTTTAAACCCACCTCTTAAAGAGGCCTAAATATGGGTCCACCCTACAGCCTCAGAGGCCTTAATAATTCAACATCTGATGCCCTGATTTCAAATACATGTTTGTAAAATAAATGTTTCAGATGCTTTACCCAGCTGTGCAAATATTTTAAAAGATGCTTCATTTAGATTTACTATGTATGTTGAGGAAACTTTATCAAAATAAAGAGAAACAACCCACCCCTCTCAGGCAGGCATTATCCTGTGTGGGCCCCTGAATCCACTTTCAAGAGCCCCTGTTAGAGAGCGATTCGAAACAGAGGAAGAGCTGAAACTTGTGTGTACTTTTTGACTTAAAATAGCAATTTGGAAAAATGTTTAGGTTTAACTTTTTGATTAGCCATTTAGTCATTTGTACATTCTTGCAGAGAATCCAAATTTTTATTTGTATATTATTCATAGTTAAGTAGTAAACGTCCAACTTGGCTAACTTTTATCCAGACCCCACAAAAATGAGTTTTCATATAGGAATTTATGGGATAGAAATTTGAAGCATTGTTTACATCCCATTGAGTTAATGTGTGGATGTTTAGTTGGTACTTGTGTTTAGTCTTTTTTACCCATATTCGTTGTTAAAATGTTTAACAAGGTAAATATTATTGAAATGTACTCTCCGAGTTTGTGTTGTTAACCTAATTGCTGTTAGTTATTTCTAAGCAAGGTCTTCAATTTTTCTCTCTCTTAATTGCAATACAGAAAGCTATGGAATAGATGAAGGTAACAGGATTCCTTTAAAATAACTGCGTTTGCTTGCAACTGCAACCTATGGAATGATATGGGATGTTTCAGTTTTCAGTTACCTTTTATTTTTAAACTATTTTTCATTGGTTTACTCTTGTTGTTAAATCAATGGAACTACTAGCTAAAGCGATTTTAAAGAGGAAAATAACTGTCCAAAATTTGGGTTGAATTTTCTATATGATTTATAATTTGATAAGCCAGGGAGAAAGTTTAAAAATATTTGGCTGTTTTATTCCAGTGGTGATTACACTATTGGAATATATACAGTATGGGTTATGGGGATGTTTCCTCACTGGAAGAAATCAAAATACTAAGTAGTTAATTGGAGTAGAATCAATCTACTAGGTTCCTAATGGGTATTTTCTTTCCATGTGCCTCAACAGCCTACTGAATAATTGGTTTTGTATAAATCACAATTTAATACATTAATTTGAGGCAAATACTTTCAAAAATATAAAATACTCATAGTTTATTATGTGATGTGTTCAACCTTGATTTCAAGTCGTCTAGTTTTGGAATTAGCTTTTAGAAGCTACCTCTTTAAACTCGTTTAGCTCCGTCAGTAATATAGAGATAGGATTATAAGAAAGTGGAAAACTCTCAAACTTTTAAAACATAAAGTTACTCATGACACAATTTTTTGTTGCCTCCATATTTACAAACTTTAGTTATTTGTAAAATAATTGCTTTAAATAACTGTGTTTTTTAGCCTTCATTTATTAATACCTGAACTAATAGCACTTACTTAATATTTGGAGAAATTATTTAGAGAACTATCAATTAGGTGTAAACTAAATCAGACATTTAAAAATATGAAAAAACTCTGCCTTTAATAGAACTCATCGTTTTGGCAACCAATGCCATAACATTTACAATAAATTCCTTTTAAAATACTGTTTAAGAGAATTCCACTCTATTTAAAGCATTTTCATAGATGGTGCCACCAATGAAATTTTTACTCGTGGATGAAATGAAATATGTTGAGTGTTATTTTTACATTTGGAATATTGTACTTAAGTATTTTTTGATGTGTGGATCATGTTTTACAGCCAGGGATTATGAGATTCAAAGAGAAAGAATAGAACTTGGACGGTGTATTGGAGAAGGCCAATTTGGAGATGTACATCAAGGCGTTTATATGAGTCCAGTAAGTCCTTTAAGACTACCAAACATCTGGACTACTTCTGACTGTTTAAATTTAAATGCCTCTTTTTTGTCTTCATGAGTCCTTAGTTCTTCGAGGTAGGTGCAGTTGTCTTTTATAGAGCTCATGATATATGTCAGCTTACTTGGTATATTCAGAAACTGAAAAATGGCAAAATTATCTCCTAGAGGGCTGAGTCTGTCTTTCATTTATTTTAATCTTTCAGCCTTTGTTATCAATAAGAGATTCTAGAGATGATTGTTCCAGTGGATGAAATTGACAAATAGATGACCAGGGTCAACAGTGGTTATCCAGTATTCCCAGTTACCTGTGGTTTCAAGAAAAGAACATTAATTTGCCCCAAATTACCCTCCAAAAGAGATCAGTGAAGTTTTTAAATTATTTATTTAATAATCACTTTGTTGTTGTTAGCGCTGTCGAGTTGATTCTGACTCCTTTTGACCCTGTGTACAGCAGAGTGGAACCTTGCCTGATCTTTTTCGCACCATCGTCTCATCTTCTGGGGCTGTAGTGGACAGTGGTCTGCTGCTATTCACGGGGTTTTCATGGTCAGTTTTCCGGAAGTGGGTGGCTATGTCCTTCTTCCTAGTCTGTTTTGGTCTGGAAGCTCCGCTGAAACATGTCCACCATGGGTGACCCTGCTGGTATTTCATATATCAGTGGCACTTCTTTCAGCATCACAGCAACACTCAGCCGCCACGGTATGACAACTGACAGACTGGTGGTGTGGTTCCCTGACCAAGAAATGAACCCAGTGAGAGTGCCGGATCCTAACCACTAGACCATCTTGGCTGGCAATAATAGCTTTATTGCTATGTAATTCACAGACTATAAAATTCACTCTTTTAAAGTGTCTAATTCAGCGGTTTTTTAGTATATTCACAGAGTTGTGCAACCGTCACCACAGTCAATTTTAGAACATTTTCTTTACCCCCAAAGAAACCCATATCCGTTGGCAGTTTCCATTCCACCCTCACCCCAGCCCTGACAGCCACTCATCTACTTTCTATTTGTATAGATTTGCCTATTCTGGACATTTCATATAAGTGGAATCATACGATATGTGGCCTTTTGTGATTATTTTTTTTCAATTAGCATAATGTTTTCAAGGTTCATCCATGTTGTAACGTGTAGCAGTGCGTCATTTCTTTTTATTGCCAAATAACATTTCATTATATGGATAGACCACTTTTTATCATTCATCAGTTGATAGTCATTTGAGTTGTTAGCACTTTTTAGCTATTATGAGTAATGATGCTGTGAACATTCATGGACAAGTGTGTGTGTGTACATAGTTTTCAGTTCTCCTGAGTGTATGTCTAGGAGTGTAGTTGCTGGGTCATGTGATCACTATTTAACTTGATGATGAACTGCTAAAGTGTTTTCCAAAGAAGCTGCACTGTGTTGCGTTCCTGGCAGCAGTGCATAAGCGCCCATTTCTCCACACCCCACCAATGCTGTTGCTGTGTGTCTTTTTATTAGATCAGTAATTTTAAAATGACATTTTAAGATTGTAGTACATACTTGCTCAAGAAATGTTTTTTAACTAGAGTAACAACAGGTGTGCAGAGATGGCTCTGATAAAGAAAGAACAGCACCGATAATTGACCTTTTGTGATATCCCTGCTTTGGAAACTGCGAATGGCATTTTCCCCCCAGTAACTCCATATTTATCAATTTTTCATATCTTTGCACATATACTAGTGATATACTGATCATTACTTTTATAATCAAAGAACTATAAAAGTTTTTTTTTGTCAGGAACAACAGATAATTGCCGCCATGTAGCTAAACAAATTAGAGGTTCTGTTTTTTCAAGTTCAGTTTTGAAAGCCTTTACCCTCGTACTTATATAAAATTATATCATTTATTATGTATTTTAGTTGTTAACTCCTCTTCCAGTTGTTTTTCACTATATCTGTGTTGTTTATCTTCCTAGTTCTCTTAACTCTGCTCTTTGAGGCAAAATGCAATAGAAAGAGGCTCTGGATCTAAATTTAGTCAAAAGACCTAAATTTTAGACCTGGCTCTACCGAACTCTGAGATGTAGGGGAGGGGAGGCTTCTTGACTCTAAATTATTACGGTTGTACCCAGTGGTCTCTGAGCCTCCTTCTGTGTCTCACATTCTGGGTAGGCAAGCATTCTGAAGTTCCCACAGCACGGTGACTTACCAGGATCACACCAACAACAGCAGGGCTGGTGGACTTGATTTCGTTCACTTTTAAAATAAGTAACCTGTTTTAGTTGTGAAAATACAAGAGAACAATTTTTTTTTAATATCTGTAGTTCAGTGTTTATTAAATATTTTTTGAATAAATCCCAGCCCCCAGGAAGATACCAGGGTTTACATTTTTTGTTGACTATCTTTCTGAAATATATTATACGTGAATGTTTACTTTGTTTTTAATGTAGGAGTCTAGTTTTATAGTGCAAAGGAGTCTATTCATTTCTCTGGGTTCCTATTAAAAATCCTTTTTCCAGATTATGCTCTTTAGTGTTCTATAAGATCAAATAACGTTTTATCAAGAATTCTTAATAATTGGTCAAATTGTAACTCAGCATAGATTTCATTGGTTACTTTGAGAATCAATTAATTCTTTCAGCAGTTATTTATTGATCATCTACCATGTGACAGCTAAGTGGTGGGGACATAATAATGAACAAAATAGGCAAAATTCCTGCTCTCACAGAACTTAAATTCTGTCTAAGACACAGGGGACAGGCAAAAACAAATACACTACCCATCGAGTGGGGAGTCACTGCTCTAAGAAAACAAAGCATGGGCAAGAGGTCAAGGCGCCCTTCCTGTGAGATGGTCAGAAAGGCCTTCTGATGAGTGACATGGGAGCAGAGGCCTGAAGCAAGGGAGGGGGACAGTCCACCAAGTCTCTACCGTGGGGGAGTGCCCTGGGCAGAGGGAACAGCCCATGCAGGGACCCTGGTGGAAGACAGCAGGCTGCAGGGAGGCCAGTGTGCCTGCAGAGGAGGGGAGCAGGAGGAAACCAAAAGGAGGTGAGGCCAGAAGGGCCACTGGGGCACTGTATGGGGCCTGCTAGGCCTGGGGTAAGAACTTGGAGTTTCAATCTATGAGTCAGTCAACTGAAGTTTATCTAACGGCTCATTTTGTTGTGTGCTGTCAAGTCGGCTCCAACTCCTGGTGACCCTGTGAGTGAGTGATGTCCACACTGTCCTGTCCCCACCAGCCCTCCTCAGCTCCTGTAGACTCATGCCTATGGCTGCCTTTATGGAGTCAGCCATCTTATATTTGATCTCCCTCTTCCTGCTGCCTTCTACTTTTCCCAGCATTATTGTCTTGTCCAAAGAATCCTGTCTTTTCATGGTGTGCCCAAAGTAGGACAGCCTCAGTTTTACCATTTTTGCCTCCAGCGATAGTTCAGGCTCAGTTTTTCTCTAGGACCCACTTGTTTGTCTTTCTGGCAGTCCAGGGTATCTGTAGAGCTCTCCTCCATCATATTTCAGATGAATCCATTTTTTTCCTGTCAGCCTTCTTCACTGTAGAGCTTTTACACCTGTACATGGTCATTGGGAATACGAGGGTGTGGGTAATCTTGGCCTTGGACTCTAATGAAACTTCCTTACTTTTTTTTCCTTTGTTGGGCAATGTTATTGGGCTTATTTTTTATTTGTGCATCCGTTGATCGCTTGCACGTTCTCTCATCATTATTATCCTAGCCTTAAAAAATTGGTTTTTAAATCTGTTTTTCTCTTAGTTCATCCCAGAATAGTCTGTCTCTAGATTTATTTGTTAAAACCTTATAGATATCTGCCAGCTGTTATTAATTCAGAGCCTAATCATGTATCTTTTATGTAGGCATAGTGGACACCAATGTGGCATTTTCATAGAACGTTGAAAAACTTCTTTTCCCCCCTAAATGTTGCTTGTATTTTAAAGAAGGTTTTTAAAATCACATTTTGAGCAGTTACCCAGATATGTTTGAATCTGCCTCTTTTTAAAGATTTTTAGAAAAAACGCTTTGCTGAGATTCTGTTCTTGCTTGCTTTGAACTGACTGATTCTCCAGCATTCAGGTCTCTGTGACCAGCCCCTCTGACGGCTCAGCATCCCCCAGGCCTTTGCTGTCCAGTTTGGGGGCCACTAGCTGCAGGTCCTAGTCCATGGACTGATGGCTGAGCCCCATGATCTGCTCACGTGTGGCCCTTTGTACGTGTGCTGCCCGTAGAATCTTAGGCTTAGCATCCATTTGAAACTATGAGTCTTTAGCAGTATTTTTTTTGCATTTCCTTAGACTTTAGACTTGAGACTTTTTTCTTTAGACATGTCTTAATAAAGTACCATGTTCAGTATTTGAGTATGAATTGACAAGATTGATAGTAGTTTTATGGTCTTACAGAAATTTCTGTTGTTATTATTTAGATCTCCTGTAAAATGGGCGTTTTGTGTCATTTCTAAAGTATACCAGTCAGTCCTGTGTTTAGTTAGAAATAGAATTCATTGTCCTGGTCCTAAAGAGGTTTACCATCTAGTTAAGGAAAACAAAGACTAACTCATTCAAAGCAAAGTGGTTACATTTTCGCATGGTATATGGCTAATGATTCTAAGAAGGCTCTAAGCTCAGACATTCAGCAGATAGGCCGTCTGTGCTCTTGTTCACGTTCTGTGCCAGCGAGCTACTGTCCTCCAGGGACCAGGCTGCCATCACCACCTGAAATCCTGCCGTGCGGGCATGCTTCCTCTGCAGATTAAGAAAGGGGCTATGGTCCCCTGAGTCTACGTTCCAGTCATTTTGCCATTTATATTTCTCTTCTTTAAAAATGTTTAATTTCCTGGAATCATATAGTGTGAAATCTCAAATAAATTAGTACAATTTAAGATATTTTTAAGATATGCCACAGCTGACTTATAAGTGAGTCTCTCCATTTAAAAGAAGGATATTAATAGCGTTCATGTATTCCACAAATATTTACTGAGCATGTACAATGAATTAGGTGCTGTTCTAATGGGGATTTTTTGACAAACAAGACAAGTTACCTGCTTTCTTGAAACTTACATGTTAGTGATGGAAAACAGATACTAATAATGTAAATGACAATGTATATTATGTATATATTATAATATATAGAATAATGGCGTTATAATAGTGTGAGAGACAATGGTCATGTAAATAATGACTCAGTATGTAATAAATGAACATACTTGGAGATTGTGGTGAGGGTTATGCAGAAAGGCAAGGAACTGGACAGAGTGAAGGGCAGGTCATTGGGCACTGTCTGAGGTGGAATGGTCTGAAAAAGGACCTCAGGGCAAATTTCTGGGGGAGGAGCATTCCAGGCAGGCAGAACAAGGAGGAGGCCACAGGAAAATGATGTTGGAGAATAGAAAATGAGGCTAGGATGAGAGATTCGGGTGGAAGAGTGAGCTTGTGGGCATGGTAAAGGGTTGGGCTTTTATTCTAAGTATAATGGGAATAGAAGCCTTTGGAGAGACATAAGCTGAGTCATGAGATGCCTCGTGGAGACTGAGTGGCAGAAGGGCAAAGTCGATGTTGCTGTTAGGGTAGGAGCATTGGAATGAGGTGGCAGTGGTGGGGGGCGTTACTGAGCTTACAGCAGTAGCGGGAGCCAGGTAGGGCAGATTCTGGATCTATGCTGTAGGTGGGGACCGTAGGTCCTATTCCTGGATTGTTGGATATATAGGGGATGAGGGAAATGGAGGAATCAGAAATGGTTTCTAGGTTGTTTACCTTGAGCAATTGTATGAATACTGTTTCTTTAATGAGATGGGGAAGACTCAGGAAGAAACAGATTTGATAGGGGATGTGTTATTTGGGGTTCTCCAGAGAAACAGAACCAGTAGGGATGGGGGTCGGGGGTGTTCTTAAGATTTGTTAGGAATTGGCTCACACAGTTATGGAAGCTGATACTCCTAATATCTGCAGTTGGCAAGCTTGAGACCCAGGAAAGCGGATGATGTAGTTAGTTCCAGTCTGTGTCTGAAGGCCTGAGAACCAAGATAGCTGTTGATGTTTTCTAGTCCAAAGCCTAGGAAAAAAATGATGTTCCAACTCATGGCATTTAGGCGGGAAGAATTCCCTCTTATTCAGGCAAGGGTCAGCTTTTGTCTTTTTCAGGCCTTCAGCTGATTAAGTGAGGCCCACCACATTAGGGAGGGCAATCTGCTTTACTCAGTCTATTGATTTACATGTTAAATTCATCCAGAAACATCCAAGATAATGTTTGACCAAGCATCTGGGCACCCCATGGCCCAGTCAAGTTCACACAAAATTCGCCATCACAGTAGGATATCAGGAGTTTTGTTTTGGTCATATCAAGTCTAAAATAACTTGGCCAGGGCCGGCCCCGTGGCTTAGCAGTTGAGTGCGTGTGCTCCACTGCTGGCGGCCTGGGTTCGGATCCCAGGCGCGCACCGACGCACTGCTTCTCCGGCCATGCTGAGGCCGCGTCCCACATACAGCAACTAGAAGGCTGTGCAACTATGACATACAACTATCTACTGGGGCTTTGGGGGGGGGAAATAAATAAATAATTAATTAATTAAAAAATAAAAATAAAATAACTTGGCCACATCCTAGTCAAGATAGGAAATAGGTAGGTTGGCTTATATGAGTCTGGGCTGAAAGGAAAATTGAGGACTAGAGATGTAAGTTTGGAAGTCAGCATAGAAGTGGTACTTGTATCCCTTGGCACTAGATGAGATAACTGAGAACAGAGTTGATCCTGAGATTAAACCCTGGGATGTTCCAGCATTGAGAAGATAGGAAGTAATATCTTGTCTTCCCATGTCTCCTCTAATACTAGTCTTTTCTGCCTGAGGCTGCTATTTATGTGGACAACTACCCATGATTCAGTAGCAAGGATTCTTCTGAGAAAGCTTAGCATATTCAGGTTTCATCAGCACTCAAGAAACGAACTATAGGCACCATTTCAGAGCCAAATCTTATGACAAGTAGCAGTTCCATCCCAAGCTGCTGCCACTCCCTACTGCTTGTCACAACTATGCACTGCCCTCAGTCACTCTTGAAGTAATGCACTGTCACAGAAGGGACATGCCACTTACCAGCAGGATGACCTTGGGTAAGCCACTGAACCTTTCAGCCTCTGCTGACTCATCTGTAAAATGGGTGTCCTAGACCCTTCTGTACCTTCTCAAGAGTAAGATAACCTGTAGCTTCTAGGTTGTCTTACAGATTACCTGTAAGCCCAGTGAGATAATTTACATAAAGAACAGAACGTTCAAAACCTATTGAGAAGACCAAAAACAGCAAGACTATACAGCCCTCCTCAGGGACCAAGTGGCTGGATACTCTTCACACCTGTGTGATGGTGACGCCATCTGGCCACTCCCAGGGGAGAAAGAGGACGATTAAAAACAACAGCACCCACACGGTTTTCCCTCTTCCCTCCTGGAGCTGCAGTGCCTGCTAGTTGATGTCATCGCCCCTCAGGATCCTCTGGGAGAAACGGAGCTGGGGACGGGGAAGGAGTCAGGGCATAGCAGTGGTGGAGCAGTGTTTCTTAAACCTTTGTCCCCTCCCTGCTGGTTCTCCCTGCTTTTTTTCCCTTCCCTCCTTCTCTCCTCCTCATCTTTTCTGCCTCCTTAACAGAATGTGAAGCACCCTACAAAAACATTTAGTATGAAATAAGATGAATAGATGGTTCTGGCAAAGACAACATAAAGCCAAGAAAAAGATAAGCACATAAGTTACTAATTAAAATCATCCATGGTATTCTTTTGGTTTGCTTGAAATAGCCTCTTATTTCTTGTTCTTCTTAAGCTCTGTCTTTTGAACTTGTTTGAGAAAAGATCAACTTCCCTCGCTCCCAGAACAACACATTTTCTTGGTTTTTCTACCCCCTTGCTGGTCACCCTCTCAGGGTCCTTCGCATTTCTCTTCTCCCTGACCTCTTCATGTTGTAGAGCGCCAAGGCGCCGTCCTCAGACCCCTCTGTCTCCCATGGGGTTTCATCTAGGCCCATGGCTTTCAACTCCACCCTATTGTGACTTCTTCCAGATTTCTTTGTCTGGCCCAGACTCTCCCCCTCAACTCCAGTCACAGTGTCCTACTGCCCACTCACCTGTGTGACTCAGCTGTCTCAGAGCTAAGCTTCTGATCTTCCCCTTTCTCTCGCCAAAAACCTGAACTCGACTTCTCTCAGACCCCTTGCCGCACCTCCACTGCTCCCAGACTTGTCCCAGCCGCCATCTGCTGTCACCTGCACCTTCCCTCACTTGCCTGCAGCCGTTTCTCAGTACCACAGTGGAGTACTCCTCTCCCCAAACCCTGCACTGGTCCCATCTCGCTTAGAGTGGGAGCCTGTCTTTCTCCTGGCGTAGAAGGCGCCACGTGGTCTGGCCCCTCCGTGGCCTCTCTGACGTCTCCTCCACCCAGCCTCACACCCCTGCTCCAGCCGAGGTCCGTGCTCGCTTCGCACTCTGCATGCTGCCGCCTCAGCGCCTTGACTCCACTAGGGCTGTCCCCCTGGCCAGCCCCCTTCTTCCCCTCCTCCACTTCTTTGCGCTCATCTCATCTCATTTCAGGAGGTCTGCCTCGCACAGCAGCACACCCCGCCTCCCACATTCCGATGTGCCCCTTCTCCTGTGCACAGCATTGTTACCTTCCCTTGTACCATATGATTAGCTTGTGTATCATGTTTGTTGTCTGTGTTCTTCCCTGGAGCATAAGCTTGAGCAGAACAGGGATCACTGCCTCTTGTTCACTGGTGATCCTAAGCACCTAGAAAAGTGCCTGACGTAGCAGAAAATAAATGTTTGTAGAACAAATGAATAAACGAATTGCCTGCAGCATTTTACATGCATGTCTGTTTTTTCTGAGGATTTTGTACAGAGTATTTTAAATGTTCTCTCACTCTTAAGATTTTACAGTTCTGATTCTGTCTGGTCCAGAATCCACATAGTTGCAAAACGAACAACTTTTCATGAACGTGCCCGTTGATTCATATGGAGGACTTTTTTGCACGTGTGTGTGATTCTATAATTTCCCTAACACAGGAGAATCCAGCTTTGGCGGTTGCAATTAAAACATGTAAAAACTGTACTTCGGACAGCGTGAGAGAGAAATTCCTTCAAGAAGCCTGTAAGTTTCTAGAAATTTCTGTGGTACTCCATTTGACTTTCTATCTCTGAAAGCCAAACTGTCTATGAAGAAGTAAGAAAAATAATGTCTTGACTTTTATGAGACAACTACATTTATTATCTTGCCTTGCAAATTAGTATCTGTATTTGTAGAGGCACATATCCACAGACTGTTTCAGGTAAACCATGATGTTTGGGGTATAAAGGTAGATTGATTCACTGTCCCTTCATCCTTTGGTACCTGTACCGTTAAATATCTTCTCACTGGAATTGGGCAGATGTAGAAATGATCCGAGCCCAGATGCTGCCAGGCCCTAGAGTTCGGAGGTGAGCAGGACAGACACTGTCCCTGCCCTGATGGAGCTCACAGACTAGCTAAGGAGCAAGGACCGTGACCAGTGCTCTGGTCCTGCTACAGAGCCATAGCCTGGTCTGCCTCTCAGTTCATACGTCCCATGACGAAGCTGCCTTGGGAGAATCATGTGTGAATAGCTCTTCTCTGCTGAATGCAAACTCTTGGAGAGCCAGATCTTGACTTGTCCATTTGTACCCATCAGGCTCTTTCCCTCCTGCCCTCAAGCTGGGCTGTTCTTCCTCCTTTCATGTGGCTTGTCCCTTCTCTTCTGACCACAGAGACAAAGTAGTCTCTCCTTAGGCTTTGTCACAGGACCGTGTTCTTTCCTCCTAAGTATTCGGAATAAAATATACATTGCTTAAAAATTATTATTGTCTCTCCCTCCCTCTAGACTTTAAGCTCCATGGGGACAAGGACCATGTCTGTTTTGCTCACTGCTCAGACCCAGTGCCCGGCTTGGGCTTATTTTAGCTTAACCCATAAAAAGCACTCAGTAGACTTTGGTCGTAGGGATGAACCTTGGTGTCCTTCATTACATGTACATCGAATGAATGCCTTCTCCTTTCATTTCAGTAAATATTTGCCACCCAACAGTCCAATAAATTAGTAAGCCATAGACTAAATCGTACCATAACTTCATCAGTTACGTCTAAGTTATATCCTTAATCCTGTTCCTTTATCTCTGACTTAAGTACAAGACAAGGGCTGGCACTGACTTCTGTCTCAACTAGTTTATTTCTGCAGAGCGTCTAGGCCAAGAAAACACAGAATATCTCAGCCATCATTACGTAACACCCTATCGAAAGAATAACTCTGGACAACTGTTTTTCCCTAGTAACAATGCGTCAGTTTGACCACCCTCATATCGTGAAGCTGATTGGAGTCATCACAGAGAACCCTGTCTGGATCATCATGGAGCTGTGCACTCTTGGAGAGGTACCATGATCCTCAGGCTTGACCTATTTTGGGTGGACTGCCAGCCCATTTGGTCACAGTGACTAAACAGTAGTGTCATGCTTAGTAATCATTCAGTCTACACTCGGTGTTTGATATCCTTTGTTTAAGAAAGGGGAGTGTATGATGTATACCCTGTGGTTTTGGTTCAGGGAATATGGGTATAACGTCTTCATCATTAAATTCCCAAAATCCCCTAACTCGGTACTGGCAGCAGTATCTTCCCCAACCCCAAGTTGTATCGGGACTGGAAGCAACAGGTGACCAAGTGGTTCTTTTTTTCCTCTCTGGTGCTGTTGCCTAGAGAACTAGCCCAATGATTTGAGAGTAAAAGAAGCAATGTTAATGGAGTTTGGGTAAATTAACGCTGAATTTAGGTAAATCTAAACAGCTCCTTCATCTTTTTTGAGAATTCACTTTGCACTGTCTTTCAGACCAGCTGATATTAGTCACAGTTTTCTTTAAAAATGTGAGTAACAGAGTATGAACAGGTCTCCTTATTTGACTTTCTCCGGAGCGCAGAAACTCTTTAATCAGTGTATCCCTATCACCTGGAAACTTGGTAGAAGTGCAAATTCTTGCGCCCCACCCTAGGCCTGCTGAATCAGACCACTTCAGCAGAGCAGGTGTGGGCCCAGAGCTCTGTTCTCATCTGCTGTCCGCTCTGTAGCCTGCCTGGTTGGGGATAAACACAAGTCAATTTTCCAGATGCCTACACTTGACTTTCTGGTACTAAAACTTAGTGATTTAACCTTCTAAATAAAACATTATACACATTCCTTCTTTTTTTAAATGATACCAAACACAGTTTTGCTTTTAATGAGTATTGGGATTTCCAGTTACCAAGAATCAGAGAGTAGTGTGGGTCCTTCCTCCTCTTCATGACAGCATCAGCCCTCCCTTCCATTAGGAAAGGTCCCTGCCTAATGGATCCCCAGTGCGCTTCTCATCTGCATTGACAGCAAAGTTTGGTGGATGAAATATTTTAAGGCTTCCACAACATCTCTTCTTCCTCTGCTCTACCTTTCCAGATAAAAGGGAGGGTTTATGGATATTTTTTGTTCATGGTATTTTTCTGCTTTTGCTTCTGAAGGATTTGCTTAAATTCTTCTTAAAATTCTGGGTTAAGGGCTGGCCCCGTGGCATAGTGGTTAAGTGTGTGCGCTTCGCTGCTGGCAGCCCAGGTTTGGATCCCGGGCACGTACTGACGCACCACTGTCAGGCCATGCTTTGGCGGCATCCCACATAAAGTGGAAGATCGGCACGGATGTTAGCTCAGGGCCAGTCTTCCTCAGCAAAAAGAGGAGGATTGGCATGGATGTTAGCTCAGGGCTGATCTTCCTCATGAAAAAAAAAAAAAATTCTGGCCTAAGAAACTATTGCTAAATGTTTCTCTTTTATGTATTGATTTTATAGAATTAGTTAAATTCATCTGCCTTTCTTTAGTCACGCGTTGCTTAACGACAGGGATATGTTCGGAGAAATGCATTCTTAGGCAACTTTGTCACTGTGTGAACATCATAGAGTGTGCTTACACAAACCTAGATGGTACAGCCTACTACACACCTAGGCTGTATGATACTAATCTTATGGGACCACCGTCGTATAGGCAGACCTTCGTTGACCGAAACGTCGTTATGTAGCACATGACTGTATTAGCGTTTAGCTGAATTAATGATGAACAGTGGTAGTAAGGACTGGTAAGCTCAGCCGGATAAATACCCAACACGTGACCATTTTACCCTTCTGCACCCAAAACTTCGTGGAGGCAGGAGGGAGAACTGCTTGTTGCTTCCCCTTCCTCCTCATCATCTTATCCTTAGATCTGCCCAGAGATACAGTGAGGTCTGGAGTGCAGGTGAGCTGGCTGTGGTTGTATAGTAGGCTTGTTTGAATGGTAATAACAAGATCTTTTTCTCCAAACTATTGTTATTTAGCAATATTTTCTACTATGCTTCTATTCATTCCCTAGAAGTATCTTCTTGTATTTTTTCAGAAATTTGTCTACTGTCATGAAGATTTCAATTTAACAGTAGGATTTAAAATAAAGAATGATTAACCATAATTTCTGAACTAGTATGTTTCATTCGTTACACTTTTTTTCTTAGGGGAGAATTGAAGCAATTCTCACAAAAATACGTTTGGAAATGGGCACCATTGTTGTTGAATGTGGCTCTTTTGTATTGATTTCTATTCTCTGTCAATAATTCTTTTTCTTTTTTATCTTGATCACTGTTCCAAAGCTGAGGTCGTTTCTGCAAGTAAGGAAATACAGTTTGGATCTAGCGTCTTTGATCCTGTATGCCTATCAGCTTAGTACAGCTCTTGCGTATCTAGAGAGCAAACGATTTGTGCACAGGTAAGATCCAGTCGTAAAGCTGGTAAGCTGCCTTCTGAGCAGGGGGATGGGCAGTGGAGAACTTGGGAGAAGAGGTACTGTCCGTGCCCCGAAACCCTTCCTACCACTTGACTCTGTTGTACACGGACGTACTAGAAAGTTGTGCTGCTTCTGTCCTAGCCAAGTGAAGTGCCACGGCATGTTGATACACGTGTTTAAAGAGCTTTTCCTCACGTGCAGTTTGAAACATTTTGTGTTACTTTAAGGTCAGTTATTCCATCCACAAATACTGTTGAGAGCCTGTACATGGCACTAGAACAGTGAAGATATGGACCTAAAACAGATATTGCCCTGAGACTTTCCGGGACACCACAGTGTCGTGAGTGACATCTGTTGGCTTTCTGTGGAATTCCTCTTTATAGTCTGGGTCTCTAGTTTGAATGCACGTGGAGCCCCTACAGTTTGTTTGTTTGCCCGGTATTGTGTTAGAGTTCTGTTATCCAGCATTAAAGCAAACTGCGTCAGCAAAATCATTTACTGGCGTCAGAAGATAACTTTTATTTTGTTTACTGAGATCTCTTGGTAGCAGCATGGTTACAGACCCTGGTTGTATATCACTGTCTGTCAGTTAATGCAGTTGGTAATATGATTGTATGAAAAGTAATAAGCAGTTTCATTATTTGAGAATATACTTTTTCGTCATTCAAAATACTAATCATCATATTAATGAGTAAATATCTGCCAAAAGGAATATATTTGAAGTAAAATAATAAAAGTATCCTTTTTTTCAGTGTGTAATAAATCTCCCGTTTGCACTGTATGTAAGCTGTCTTTCAAAGTATCTATCAATATGTCTTTATATAATATAGATGAGTTTGTGGGTTTGTTTTCCTTGTATTAAAATTTGTTGTCCCAAATTTTTCCTTATCAGGGACATTGCTGCTCGGAATGTTCTGGTGTCCTCAAATGATTGTGTCAAATTAGGAGACTTTGGATTATCCCGATATATGGAAGACAGTACTTACTACAAAGGTAAGAAATTAGAGCAATAAATAAAAATAGGCTCAGGATCTCTAATGATTTTTATTTCTTAAAAGGGTATGTTCTAATATGCTCAGCAAATTTTTGACAGGTGTACAATGGTGCAGGAGCAGTTGGACATCCATAGGCAAAAAATAGACCTCAGCCTAAACCTCACTCCAGATTAACTCAAAATGGATCATAGACCTAATTATAAAATGTAAAACTATAAAACTTTTAGGGAAAAAAATGGAAGTAAATCTTTGGGATCTAGGGCTAGGCAGAGTCCTTAGACTTGACACTAAAAACACGATCCATAAAAGGAAAAAATTGATAACTTGGACCTCATCAAAATTAAAAATTTTTGTTCTACAAAAGACCCTATTAAAAGGATGAAACAACAGGCTACAGAGTGGGAGAAAATACTTGCAAACCACCTGTCCAACAAAGGACTAGTATCTAGAATATAGAAAGAACTCTCAAAACTCAACAGTAAAAAGAGAAACAAAGGATACAGTTAGAAAATGGGCAGAAGATATAAAGAGAGATTTCACTGAAGAGGATATACAGATGGCAAATAAGCACATTATCCATTAGGGAAATGCAAATTAAGACCACAGTGAGATATCATTGCACACCTATCGGAATGGCTAAAATAAAAAATAGTGATAACACCAAATGCTGGCGAAGATGCAGAGAAACTAAATTACTCATAAATTGTGAGAATGTAAAATGGTGCAGCTACTCTGGAAAAGAGTTTTTCAGATTCTTAAAAAACTAAATGCAACTACCATATGACCCAGCAATTGCACTCCTAGGCATTTCTCTCAAAGAAATGAAAACTTATATTCACACAAAACCTGTACTCGAATGTTCATTGCAGTGTTATTTCTACTAGCCAAAAATTGTAATCAGCCCAGATGTCTTTCAACCAATAGACATAGTTAGATACCTCACAGCAAAGGGGGTTAGATGCATTGGCTCAGAGAAAATGATCTGACTTACAAATCTCTAATCTCCTAAGTCCAGAGACTTTGATCCATTAGTTTTGGAACTAAAAACTGCCTCGTGATTTTTCTTTAATTTTGCCATCTTGGAATCAGATTGACTTGGTTCTTCAAATTATTATTGAACAAATAATTACTTTGGAATAATTTTCATATTCCTAGTACTTCAGCTAAGGTATGAATTATAAATTCATAGTATGCTATTAGTGTATATTCTAATTATTACTACTGTGTTGCAAAGGCCAGTTTTCTTCCTAGTTTGTTTGATTTTGATATTGTAGCAAAATGAGCCCAAATTTTTCCATAGTCTCTTTCATTTTATACTATAACTCATGACTAGTCCCTTTCCTATGCTTTCTGTATACTATAGCCTGAAACAATTTTAGCAGTGAGCCTTTGTTGTGTGAAAAGAAAATTCTTTGGTTGTTTATTCATTTTGGTTATTTACTCATTTAACTTAAAAACAACCAAGTAAGCTTTCCACTGTTTTAAAATACATTTCATATCCAGCTCAAATCCTAAGTAATCCAAGTCCTAGAATTCCAATAAAGAGCTAAACTCCCAACAGTGTAATGGCCGAGGTTCTGCTTCATTTAGACCACATTGGAAATGGGCAGTTGACAAATTCACGCATATATTATCATCCCAGAAAGGTCAGTAAGTATAGATTCCCTTAGGCTTCAGGAATACAGCCCCTACAGGTTAGGGGTTCTTCCGTTCGGAGCACAGTTGTAGAGTAGTTTGTCCTGAAGGAATCAAACAAGATTTGACCTCATTAGTCGAGCAAATGCTTGAAGTTAAATGGAAAAAAAATAAATGAAACAAATTTAATTGTCTCCTGATTGAAAGTCCTCGAGGCACTCTTAGCTTACAGAAGGAAGTCCAGGCCCTTGACAAGGCTGGCGGGGCCCAGGTGCCCCTGCTCTGGGCCCCTTGAAACCTGCTCTTTCCCCTGCCGTTGTATCTATAGCTCCTCCTTGCCCCTGTCCTAGCAACTCTGATCCCCTGTCCCTTCCCCGAAGCCTTCCTGACCTGCCCCTTGGTCACTGTTCCTCCGTACTTCTGTGACACTGGGCATGTAGTCAGTGTCTTGGTTATACCTCGTACCATGTTGGAGTAGACTCTGTTTCCACCTTTGAGAGTTAGAATTCCTTCAGGAAAGGTACTCTAGGGTGTCATCTTGTAACCCAGCAGTTGAAGGATGTTTAGTGGGGTGATGCGTTGTTTCCTGTGTGGCACAAAGGGAAGTTTTTAGGCCTCTAAAGAGGGACGATTTCAGGCTTTCCTTTTCATTGCATCGCCCCCTCCTGCTCGTCACATACTGATGAAAGTACAGTCCGTCCTCATTATTTGTGGATTCCGTATTTGCACATTTGCCTACTGGCTAAAATTTGTAACTCCACAAATCAGTACTCACTGTGCTTTTGTAGTCATGTGTGGACATGCACAGAGCAGCACAAAATTCGCGTGTGGAGGACAGAGGCGTGTGGGGGCGGTACAGCACCGTGCAAGCACCTCCGCCTCTGGGCCAGCTGGACGGGTTTAAATCCCATCTCTGGCACCTGCTAGTGGGGCAGCCTTCAGACTAAACACACCTGAACCTTGTTTTCTAAAGAAAACAGAACCTATCAGGATAAGTTGTTTTTGGTACTTAAGATTAGAATCTATGTGAGAAATGCCTATATATGTACGTATTTCCCCTAGGAGCAGTGTTGCGTGTTGGTGGCAACTTTATTGAGCATGACTACAGCGAATGAGAATCGAGCGTATGTCATTAGCAGCCCATTTCTAAAGCAAGGTTCCACCCTATACGTTAGGGTCCGTTTGGGGAAATTGTGAAGCCTTTCATAACCGAGCTGCAGGCTAATACCTGCAGTTAACCAGGACTCCCTCTCACTTCCCTGCTCCCTGCCTCTCCACAGAGAGAAGGACATCAGTGTTTTATTCCCTACCCCAGTCTAACTACTCATCACCCCAAAATGACCTCAGAACATCAAGGAAATGAAAAGTAGTTCTCCCAAAGAAACGGAAAGTCCAAGGAGTCAAATATTTAAAAGTTTTTATTTTGATGCCAAAAATCTTAGCTAGCTATAACTATTAGATTCTTTAGCAGATAACAAAGAAAATTCACTTTCTAAAATTAATCTTCTAGCTTCCAAAGGAAAATTGCCTATTAAATGGATGGCTCCAGAGTCAATCAATTTTCGACGTTTTACCTCAGCTAGTGATGTGTGGATGTTTGGTGAGTATTTTGAAAAGTTTTGTGTTTTTTTTAATTATATTTCATGTATTCTACAAGATAAACTTAGCTTTATCCCTCTTGAGAATATGGGGTTAATTCACCTTGCCTTGCCTGACCATCTCTTTCAGCAAACTTCCTCTTTGGTGCGTTTGACAAATAGTCACTGAGCATACACCGTGCACCAGCTTCCAGCTGCGGCTTCTGTAGTGCTCCGCTGTTGTGAATTTCCAGTGCCTTCTGTCACTCTTCCTTTCTGTTTCCCTGTGCCATCTCTTCCTCCCTCACAGGGAGATACCTATTTCCTTCTTTCTCTCCTCTTTTTGCCATTTCATTCTTTCCTTTTCTGTGAATGACTTTAACTAGTTAACTTGTCCATCTGTTTCTGTGATAGCCCCTCAAATCCAGAGTAACTAAAATTGTACTTCCTCTCTTTATTCTGGAATCTGACCTCCTTCCTGACTTGTCTCAAGGCTTGAAAGTTTGATCCTTCGTCTTCTGTAGCTTCTACTTCTTTGATGTCTACTCTGTCCCTTCCTGCCTGCTCCAAGTCAGTCACTGTCATCCTCCTCCTTCTGCTCAGTAGATTATTGCAGTACCTCCCAGCTAGTGTACAAGTGTGGCTCTCATTCATTCTACACTACTTACTTCAACTACTTGATCCAGATTTTAAAGACACTCACTCCCCTGCCCCACCTTTGCTGATGTTACTCCTTCTACCTGGAATACCTTATCCTTACACTCTCTCCTCCAGTTGAAATTCTGTCTAACCTTCAAGGTCACCTCAAATGTCCCCTCTTCCCTGAAGCCCTATGTAGCAGGTGAATCATCCGATATAAACTTCCTTTCTCTGCATTCTCTGTGTTTTCTCTTTGTCATAACACTCACGTGTTGATCTTGGGAATAGTCTTTTGTGCGTATTTTCTCTGCTAGATTTTAAACTACTTCAGAGATGCCCTGTTAAGTTTATGTACCTTTTTTTCCTATAAATAAAAATAACTTTATATACATTGTGTGTGTTCTTATTTTTTCTTCTGTTTACTTGCTGTTGATTTTTAATAACCATTTAGTGCCCTAATTGGTAGTAGGTGAAAGAAGGAACTTTTCAGTAGAGTGGGAAATAGCGTGACATGATTAGAAAAGGCTCTGGAGTCTAATCAATGTGGCTTTAAATTCTAAGACCTGGCTTATTAGCAGTGTGACCCAGAGAGCGAGGCTTATCCTCTCAAGGAAATTTCGTATTTCAAAGTTTAAGATGCCTGTTTTTTCACATTTCAACATTTCTGAAACTGAGGTGTGTTGTAAATCAGTGGTATTTTGCAGTCTGTGTTAGTTGGGGGCGTGTTTTGTGTGTTCACCTTGCCAGCCCTCACGTGGACTTTGTTTTGTTCATACTGATGTTGCTTTCTTGTCCGAATAAGTGTAAAAGAGCTCTGTAGTAAGAATACAGTAATTCTAAGAGGTAACAAAGGATTGTATCATAGTTTAGTTGGCAGCATTTTCCCTCTTTTTTTGGTCATATAAAGTAATAGTGTGTCTTATAATCAGTGGCATATTAGATAGGATAAAATACAGTATTTTAAAAAATGTAAACTGTGAGGATTAAGGAAAACATATGTAAATCTCAGAGAACGGTGCCAGAGACATATTAAGGTCTCAAGAAATGATACCCAGTGTTATTATTACTGAAAATGTTGTCATAATTTCTGGTGAGAAAAGCAGAACTCAAGACATTATTTTTGTCATTCACTCTTTACTTTGAAATTACTGGACTTTTGGCTAATTTCAGAATCTAATTCACGTTAATATGATAATATGCCTTGCCCCCTTTGAGGCACATACCATTTCAGGTACTGAAGATGCAGAAATAAAGTCACTACTCCTCTCCTCAAGGCACCAGTTACACAGTGTACATCTATGATGGAAGCAGAGATGAGATTTTCCCAGGGGCGAATCAGGAAAAGCATTATAAAAGAACTCACCAATGTACCTAAAAAGAGGCGAGTTTGTAAAGAAGAAAATGAAAGAGCGTTAAATATAGAGAATTTAACACAAGCAAAGGCATGTTTGTGGCATGTTCGGGGGTGGCAGGATCTCCAGAGGGGCCAAAATGCCAGGTGACGACAAGAAGCTACGAGGAGAAAACCACTGGCCGCGGATGCCAGCCTGCTCTCCTAGTTCCCTGGTGGTTGTGTTATGTGGTCCTCCCTCTCAGTTTTAGGTTTTGTTCACTTGTTTCTTTTAAAGGTGAATGCACAAGTATTATTCAGAAGATACTGGGAAAGTCTGTGACTTACAAGGGGAGCATGCGAGTAAACTGTTTGAGGGTGATTGTGGAGTTTGTGGACACAGTCACTGCAGCCCAGAGAAGTCCCAGACTTTCCTGTGGGAACCATTGTGACTGGTTAGTGGATGAGCCAGATACTGAGGCCACTGTGCACGCTGGGCAAGGATGGGCCAGCACTGTTAAGGGAAATCTTGACAGGAAACTGAGTGTTGTAAAAGTGTAAGACTTAAATTTTAGGGTTTTCTGTGTTGGGCCTCAGGTCAGCTGCTGTAATCATAAGCAGGCTGGATTAAAGTGGAGTAAAATCGAAAATTTATTGAGGTTTTTTGAACTGGCTCATTTAGTGTGAAGCATCACTGTAGCTGGTGGGTCATTTTCTAATAGAGAACTTTTAGAGAAATAAACCTCTTAGAAAAATTGTTTTTTTCCTTGGTAATATGTAATATTTCACCATTCACATCATATTAAATTAGTATGGCTGTTCTCATTTTATAACAGAATGAATCGAGTGTTGCTGTGTTTAGCTGATTTGCCCACAATCACGCAGCTGGTTCTCATGCCGACTGTGAAGTGATTCCTGAAACATAGGAATTACACTCTTCCTGCTAAGTTCACTGCTATGTTTTCATTCCCGCTTCACAGGTGTGTGTATGTGGGAGATACTGATGCATGGTGTGAAGCCTTTTCAAGGAGTGAAGAACAATGATGTGATCGGTCGAATTGAAAATGGGGAAAGATTACCAATGCCTCCAAATTGCCCTCCTACCCTCTACAGCCTTATGACGAAATGCTGGGCCTATGACCCCAGCAGGCGGCCCCGGTTCACTGAGCTCAAAGCTCAGCTCAGGTAGGAGTGGGGGGAGAGAGGGCCCGGGGCTGGGGCAGGCTTATGCTGCTTCTCCTCTGTTGCAGTAATAGTGTTTCCAGGTCATTTTATCAGTACGTCTAAGGCTAACCTATTTCTTGGGCAAACATCACTTTTTTAATTGATTTGCATTTATTTATACCTTGCTAGAGTCTTGAGTAGATTATATCTTAAAATCTTAATAAATTTCACATTATGATTAAATCTCTCTCCTCTAACTTCTAACTGACTTAGCATGGCTTACAAGGTCTGTAATAATTTAGTCCCTACTTACCTCTCAAATCTCGATACAACTCCTTCATCCCCCCGATACTTAAGCTCCAGCAACACCTAACTACTTTATAATTCTCCCAGCACAGCTCACTGCCTTTCACGTGCTATTTTCTCTCCCAGAAATGCCTTCCCCACCTTTGCCGCCTGATAAACTCCTATTCCATCCTCAGAATCCAGCTCAGATGTTACCTCCTTCAGGAAACTTTCCTAATCAACCCTACCCCCAAAGAGATAGCCACTCCTTTGGCACCTTTTCAGTACTGTTATTATAGTTAAAACATCCACATTGCCCATTCAGCTGCCATTTTGTGCCTCCTACTTTGTGCCAGGCGCTGTTAGACCCAAACCTCTAGTAGCTCCAAGTCCCCCAGAAGGAATGCACAGGGACTTAGTGCACTGAACCCCTCAGAGTGTCTGCACAGTGGAGCCTGCCTCCTGGCCTGGAGAGTTTCTTGTTTGCTTGTCTGTGTCCCCAACCAGACTCAAAGCTCTCAGTGGGCATCACTGTGTCTTACTCATTTCTGTAGCCCTAATATGGAGCTTAGGACCAGGCACCTAATGAGCACTCAATAGACAGTTGTTGAATTGAGTTGAATTAAAGTCTAGATTGAAGCTTAATACTTTAATGAACAAGATATTTTAATATAATTTGCATGGGGAGGGCTGGCCCCATGGCTTAGCAGTTAAGTGCGCGCGCTCTGCTGCTGGTGGCCTGGGTTTGGATCCCGGGCGTGCACCGACGCACCGCTTCTCCGGCCATGCTGAGGCCGCATCCCACATACAGCAACTAGAAGGATGTGCAGCTATGACATACAACTATCTACTGGGGCTTTGGGGGGAAAAAAAAAGGAGGAGGATTGGCAATAGATGTTAGCTCAGGGCCAGTCTTCCTCAGCACAAAGAGGAGGATTAGCATGGATGTTAGCTCAGGGCTGATCTTCCTCACAAAAAATCAATAAATAAATAAAACTGTTTAAAAAAAAGTATGCTTGGGGAGCTTAATTATATAACCAGCCAACCAACGCCATGGTTTTAACATGTACTGTATCACTTGTTTTCATATTTGGGATACTTCCCTGATTTTATGTGAGATTTTTTTTTTTTTTTTTTTGCTATGCCATTACTAAATATCGGGGTCCAGAAGACCCTGAGAGCTCAACTAGCCCAACCATATCTCCCAGTGCTTGGACCCTCTCTAAACTTCCTCTAGCCTCACCTCATCTCAGGCAGCTCAACCTGCTAGACAAGTTTCCTTACAAGGAGAATGTTTCAAGAAGAGTTAAAGCCAATAGTTAGAAATAGAAGAGATTCATCCAGTCAGCAACTGTTTGCTAAGTGCCTACTTTGTTCTGAGTTAGGTTCTGTGGATTCAGCAGTGAACAGAACACAAGCTTGCCCCCAGGCTTTAAAGTCCAGTGAGAGACCGGAGTCAGCAGTTGTTCACCATACAGGGAGAGCACACTGTGAGAGAGGGCTCCTTAGACCCCGTGACGCTCACCCGCCAGCCAGGTTCCACTCTCTAGAGCCCCACAGAACAAACTCTGCTCTGCGTCTCACATGATAGGCCTTCGAGTATTTCTAGACAGCTTTTTTCAAGCTAGAAATTTCCCATTTCTTAATTCTCATACAACTTAATTAGATATGCTCTCACTATTAGAGCTGGATTTTTGAAGGTGCTTTGTTTCATGTTTTGCTCATAAATGTTTTTTGTTCCTTCTTGATCTTTCCTTGGAATTTGACAGGTCTTGACCTTGAAATTTCTTCCCTCTCTGATCCCAGTTCCATCTGCTTGCCTCCCTGACATCTCCTTTATCTTACCGACCCACTGTTTCTCCACCATTACTATGAGTATTGACCAAATTTCTATTCTCAGCCTCCTCCTTTCTCTCGGTACTCTTCCTGGATTATCTTAACCATTCTTGTGGCTTCACTTCTCACCTCTGTCTGTCTTTTGCTTCCATCCTGCCCTTTTCTCACAAGTCCCAAACCTGCGTTTTAAATTGCATCATGGGCATCATGTTTATCCCTAAAGCAAATCTGTTACCATCTCCTCTCAGCCAGCTCTTGCCCCTCACCTTCTGTAGGTTACAGTGGTGCCTTTATCTTCATCTCCATCTTGGGATCCTCAGGAATTCCTCGCTTGCCCCAACCAGCTGACTAGCTGGAGAACCCTCTCTGCAGTGTCTTCAGGACCACTCCCTCTCCACTGCTTCTCCAGCTGGACTCTCCTTCCGTCTGTCCAGCATAGCTTGTTAGGCAGTCTTCCCGAAACATCAGTATGGAAGACTAACTCCTTTGCTCAAAACAACTTTCAGTGGGTTCCTGTTACTCCCCGTGTTAGGGAGAGGCTTCTAGAGTGGCATGTAGGACTCCTTCCATTATGGCCTGACGGTGTCTTTTCCATCCCTTTCTCACATTATGGCCAAACTAACCCTGTCTCTCAGCCTGGAATGCTTCCTTCTCCACCTGGTGAAATCCTACCCATCTTTCTTGGCTTCTTTCATGTGCTGGCTCTTCCGTGACTTCACAGCTGACCATCCTGTGCCTTCAGTCTCCAGAGCACTTTGTTCTTGTCATGCTCATCCTGTGCTGCTGCAGATGGCTGCGTGCCATGTTCAGTTCGGTTCCCCACACACTGTGAGACCACGATAGCTGAGCCTGGTGCTAGTTACTGGGCAAGATGACCAAAACACTTTTCCTGCCCTCGAGGAGCTCACAGTCTAGTATGTCTCATCCCCTACTAGACTGAAGCTCCTTGAGGACAGGGATCGTCATACTCACCTCGGTGTTGCCTGCACCTCCAGGCCCGGAGCCTGGACACAGGAAGGGTCCAAATAGTCGCTGAGGTCATTGCTGAGCGCAGATAAGTCTGGTTAACATTAATTTAAAGACTGTTTTATTAAAGTAAGTTAGCTCCAAAAACTATGCAAGATGAAGTTTTAGAACTAAACATAGTTATTTTATATATGTACACACACATATATATATAAATATATATAAATATAATATAATGTACTTAGACTATAATTTATGGATATCTTCTTGTGACAGTTAGCACAGGTCATTGAGCATTAATTTATTCTGTATTCTGTTTTAATCAGAAATGGAGCTTAACTTTGCATTTTAAACATGTATAATATGGCTACCAAATAGGCCAATAAAATTTAACTTTATAATATAATAACTTGCCTGAACATTTATATGTAATAATGTATCACAATAATCAAATAGTTACTTTTATTGAATTTTTCAAAATCTTTATTATATCCAAGATTTTAACAAAGTAATAAATTTTGCATAGCCCTTACCCCAGCCAGGGCAGTTAAAAACATTTCCCTAATCCCATTCTCCTTATCTACCTTAAAAGAGAAATTGCAAATAGAGTCAAATTACTGTGGAATTCCATTCTTCTTTGACTGGGCCCTATATTTGTCTTTACTATATTATAGGTTGAAAAAGTGGCTCTCAGGATGAGCTTCGTTAGGCCAAGTCATGAAGTACTCAGGTCATACTTTCATGGGTTGATCTCTGTGACTCAGAGCCTGTCCTCCCTGCATCCGGTTTTCTTATTCACAGATGTGACTCCATTGAGAAGAAGAATGAGGTTAACCCGTAGGTGGCCTATTAGCAAGTGTAAAAAATTCCTCAATAGGAATATTTTACAGTCACCTACAGTGAAAATTTCTCATAATGTGTACTCTGGCATTTTGTAGTATGTGACTGACAGGTTATAAGAGTGCACTAAATATTTTTTGAATGAAAAAAATCATTTAATCCCTGTTTAATTCAGTTAATTCTTTGGTAGATACTGTGCCAAGGAAACCACAATAAATGGCTTGAGTATCTGCCTTTTTTGGAGCTTATATTGTACTCAAAAATACTATTTCCCAGCAGTACTCTGCTTGACTAAGTTATTTGTGCCACTATAAAAAAAAGACTTTTGGTTTTATCTCCCAGTTTAGGGAAGCGTTTTAATTTAATGTGCAGTTTCTTAAATCCTTTTTAGACAAATGAGGTCAATAAACAGATTTATCAATTTAAAGTTTTGTACCATAGTTTTTGTATTTTTTTAACTCTTTATTAACATCCAAAGATGTGAACGTATAAACATGGCAAGAAGTGAACAGCTCATTGAATTTTCACAAATTGGGCACATCCATGCAACCAGCATCCAGAGCAAGAAAACAACACTGCCAGCACCCCAGAAACCCACCAGATGCCCCTTTCTAGTTACCGTTCACCCTCCAAGCGTACCCACTTACCATAGATTGATTCTGCCGATTTTTGAGCTCTATGTAAATGGTATCATTCAGTATGTACTTTTTTGCTTTTGGTTTGTTTTGCTCAACATTTAGGGTGAGATCATCCATATTGTTGAGGTAGTAGTACTTCGTTCTCGTTGCTGTATATTGTACCGTTGGTGAATATGCCGTAGTTTATCCATTCTACTATTGGTGGAAATTGGGATACTTTCCAGGTTGGGGCTGTCAGGACTCTTACTGTCTGAATATAGTAGTGAGTGTCTTTTGGTGAGCATTTGTACAAGAAGTTCAGTTGGGGTAAATCCCAAGTCAGTGGGGATACACAAGTTTAGCTTTAGTAGATGCTGCCTGTTTCCCAAAGTGGATATTCCAGTATATTGCTCCCAGGAGTGAGTGAACGCTCCAGTTGCTCCGACCATAGTTTTTTTTAAACGTTCGGAAATTTCT